CCCCAAAACCCCAAAACCCCAAAACCCCAAAACCCCAAAACCCCAAACGCAGATAAATATTTTGAAATATTATTTGGAGATAAATGAACATATCCATTTACTTAATCCTATTCCTTTCTGTAGTGACTGCGAAGCTGATCGTATACTCGCCTTCAAAGCTGAGAAAACGAATTAACAATCAGAACGGAGTCATCCATTCAAGCGTAGCCAACTTCGGTCATATTCCTTATGGACACTCGATCATCGGAAGAGTATGGTTTGATGAAAGCAACAGAGATGGATGTCAAAGTTTCAGGATCAATATCACCGGAGAAGGAGACCCCGACGCATATCCATCTCCAATTGTCCTTGTGGAGAGAGGAAACTGCTCCTTCGTCAAGAAAGTTAGAAACGTTGAACATGCAGGAGGATCCATGGCTGTCATCATTGACAACAAGCCAGGAGAAATCGTCGAGCAAGTCATAATGGTTGATGACGGGACTGGCTCAGGGATCAAAATCCCTTCGATGCTCATCAGCAAGAAAGATGGAAGGAAGATCTGTAAGTCTGTGTTCTCACTTAATAGTGGATCAATTCGAAGAGTGAAAAGAAGCCGAAGAAGACTTAGACGAAGATGAAAGAGGCCACAAAGCCTGTGTGCAACTCATCGGCAGTTTTGACCTTCCGCATCCTGACAACAGAGTAGAATACGACCTCTGGTACAGCAGTGAAGACGAACAGGCTATGGACTTCTTGGCAGATTTCGAAGAGTACCACTACCGATACAAAGAGCATGTGTACTTCACTCCAAGGATCTTCTCGTTTGAGTGCAAGGGCTGAGAAGAAGAAACTTTAGAAAAAGACTGCTTCTCCAAAGGAAAATACTGTGCTCACTCAGCCAGAGCAAGAGGAGCACTGAGTGGACGCGACATTCTGACAGAGAATCTCAGACAGAAGTGCCTCCATAACAAGCTGCAGAAGAACAGTAAGTCAATATGTTGTGTTTACATTGATGCCTAAATACCAGAATATTCCAATTATTTTGTGACTCTGGCTTGACATTGTAATAGAAAAAGAAAAATACTGGTGGGCCTACATCCAATATGTCCATGAGCTTTGTCCAGATGGAATCACCAGCAGCTGCTCCAGAAAAGGAATGGAAGAAATTGAAGTCAAATTCGAAGACATTGAAAGCTGTGTTGGAGATTCTTTCTCTGGAGGAAGCCGCTCGAGCTCAGAAAATACAATTCTTGCAAAAGAAGCAAAAGAATGGAAGAATAACGGGCCAAGCTTTCATCCAGCAGTAGTGATCAACAATGAGGCTTACAGAGGATTCTTGTCAGCAGACAACGTATTTGAAGCTATTTGTCAAGGTTTCAAGAAGCACCCTTCAGAATGCAAAGGAGTCGTCGGTGACTCACAAGACTACAACGGAATCAGCACTGAAATGTAAGATAGCTATTACAAGTTTAGGATGATTCTGATAGTGGTTGGAATCCTAGCATGCAACCTCGTCCTGCTAATTCTCTACAGAAGGTAATACTCAAGCTTGACTGTATAGGTACTATAAGCAAGAAATGCAAAATGACGTCAGGATGGCAGCCCACTCAGCAGTCTCACAGTACTTTGCCATCCAGAATAACGACAAAGAGCAGATGAACCTTAAGGCTCCCGGGATTTAGCTGAGAATAATATTTATTCAATAGTTGCTTTTTTGTTAGGGGTTTTGGGGTTTTGGGGTTTTGGGGTTTTGGGGTTTTGGGG